CGCGCTGAGGGCGGGCGGGCCCCGCCCTCACGGGCCGCGCACGCGCAGCCGGCCCCGCGCTGCGTCTCCGGCGGCGCCGGGAGCGAGCGGAGCGGCCGCGGCCGCGGCCCCGCGGCGGGGATGGGGCGGCTCTCGGTGCCGCCGCTGCTCCTGCCCGTGCTGCTGCTGTGGCAGCTCGGCGGGGCCCAGGATCAGGGTGAGAGCGGCGGGCGCGCGCTCCGTGCTGCCCCGAGCGGGCGGTGCCGGTGGGGAAGGGGCGCGCGGAGCGGCGGGCGCGGCGCGGAGCCCTCGGGGGACCGCGCCTGGGAGGAGCGGTCGGGATCGGGGTCGGGAATTAAGGTCGGGATTGGGGTCGGGATCGGGGTCGGGGTCGCGCCCCGCTGCCGCTCCGGTCCCCGCGGTGCTGAGGGAGGCTCGGGGCTCGGGCGGCAGGAAGGAAATGGCTCCAGGGCGGCGGTGCGAGCACGGGGGTTTGGGCGGGTTCGGATCTCACAACCGAGGCGCTCTTTGGGTGGGAAGCCGCTTCAAATCGCATCCGTCCCACCCCGCCCTGGGCAGGGACACCTGCCGCGGAGCCTCTGTCCAGCTGGCTTTAAACCCCGCTTTCTGTCCCTTAGACCCGCTTTCCTTTTCCCTTAAGGAAGGACAATGAGCTCTGTGAGTGGGGCTGGCTTCTTTGTTTTTCATGCAGCAAACGAAATGGGTGTACAGTGAGTGAAGTCGTGTGTTTAACTACAGAAAAACCCAAAAAAAACCCAAAAAAAGGCAAACAGGCAAAAATCTGAAAATAGGATCTGGAAGGAAGTGCATTGTCTTGGGTAAAATGACTAAAGAACTTGAGGAAACAATGTGTAACGTGCCCTATACTAGTGTAGAGCTGGACGCAGTTAAAACCTAAATTAAAAAATTGGGAACGACTTAAATATATCCTTAAAAAGCTGTTCAATTACTCTGCCTCCTGTGCTGAAACAAGTGTGTTTCTCTTCCTGTTGCTAAGGTGCTCTGTTGCTTTTTCCTTCCTCTCCCAGGTACGTGTCCCAAGCCAGAGCGGCTGGAGTACGCAGAGCTCAATGAGCCCTTCAGGGAAATGCAGAATTTTCCACCTCAGAGCAAAATCTCCTTCACCTGCCGGCCTGGATACGTGAGGGTTCAAGGGATGTCACTGACCTGGACATGTGGTGATGACTTGCAGTGGTCACCCAAAGGCGTGTTCTGTATAGGTAATTTTTTGTACCCCTTTTTTCCCCACTTATTTTTAGCGGTTTCAGTTGGCTTGCAACTGAAACTAGAGTTTTGAATTAGGGTTTTGCCATATTTTAAATGAAGCTTGGGAAATACTGGTGTGGGTAAGAGCAATAAGTGTCAAAGATTTTAGTCTTTGTATGTAACTATAAAGATGTAGATTTTTTTTTTTCTTTTCTTTTTTTTCCCCCCTTCCCCCAGCGAGAAAATGTGAGTACCCAGGAGAGTTGGAAAATGGTCATTTTGATGCAACAGATCTTACATTTGGCTCAGTTTTGACATTTTATTGTAATGAAGGGTAAGTGTTTTGGTGAAGTTAATGATTCCTTTTTTATTTTTTTAATGTTTACACCAGGTTTGAACCAAACCCAAATTTTCTATTCCAGTTCTGATCTGAAATCTGAATTCTACCTATAGCAAATGAAATTACAGCTAAATTTAATTTGATTCCCTGGTTTAATTACTCTTTGCATCAACCCTAAGCTTTTTTGTGAGATTCTGCAGAACTGGTGACTTCTTTTAATGCTCCTGTGGCAGAAGAAGTAGATATAAATTGATCATCCTTCATTATTGAATAATTAAGTCAACAACACTAAGGAGGGCTTTTTTCCTTTTCCTTGAGTATTAGTAATTTTAGGATTATTAGAGGGTATTTTTAAAATTTAATTAGTAATTTTAATATTAGAGGGTATTTATGAAAATGGTAAAATTTTCACAGTTCCTTAGTGATGTCTCTTTATTTGTTTTGTTTTCAAAGTGAGACTGTCAGCCAAATAAACAAGATTCTGTTCTCACTACAACAAAACCTTGCTGTGTTATGCCTCTGTAACCACAGAACAGAATTATTGATAAGAGCTGATTTTTTGGTGCGTGTTGCAAAAAAGAGAAATTTAGGTTTCACTTCTTCAAAATTTTTACCTGTCTAGGTACAGAATACAGGGTAAGGAAAAGATTTCCTGTGATATCATGAATGGACATGTTGGCTGGAGTGGAGCTCTGCCTTACTGTGAAAGTAAGTAAATTATTGCTGTGTTTGATTTTCTGTTCGGGGGGGTAGTTCATTTACAAAGAGCTGTGCCACCAATTTTCCAGTACAAAAAATGATGGGAAAACAGTGATTATTTTTATCCTAGCTACTTGGGATGTGCCTGAGGAATGACCACTGAAAAATGTCCGTTTTGTGGTAATTATCTCATATTAAAATCAGCCTCTTGTTGAAGCTGAGGTTCTGTAGCGTGGCTTCGAGTGGCTGCGTCAGATTTTCAATGAAACAACTGGAAAATCAAGGCTTGCTCTTTGAAGTGAGCCAGCTAACACGACAAAACCAATTTGACCAATTTTTGTGCTTTATTTACAGAAATTCCTTGTGAGCCACCTCCCAAAATAGCCAACGGGGACTATGAGGAAAGCTCCAGCTACGTGTACCAGAGCTCAGTGACCTACAGGTGTCGGGATGTGCCCAGGGGCAGTGATCCCTTCTCCCTCATCGGCCCAGACACGATTCACTGCACAGCTGATGCACACTCAAATGGAGTCTGGAGTGGGCCACCTCCACAATGTCGAGGTTGTTGGGATTTTTCATTCTTTATTATTATTATTATTATTAATAATAATTTTATTATTTATTTATTATTTATATTATTTATTATATATTTATTTCTTTATTTATATTTATTATTATATATTATTTAGAATAATTTTATGATTCTGTTATTATTATTTCATTCTTTATATTCTTTATTATATTTTTCATTCTTTATCTATTATCATTCTTTATTCGCTGTCCCTTTCCTTGGAAGCGGGGCGGGGAGAATGGACTTTGCCTCAGGAATGCTCTGGCACAGTTCCAGTGGAGATTACATCAGCATGGTGGATATTGATGGATTAGAACATAGATTATAACTAAAATTTAAGTTAAAGCTTGAAAAATACGTGTTTTGTTGGCAGAAGTGACAAGGCCAAAGTGAAGGAACTGGGAGACCACAAATCCTGCAGAAAAATTGTGTCAAGGGCAAGGATGTGGGGGCTGGAGTAGGACTTGTAAAAAACTAAGGAAGAATCCTGTTCCTAAAAACACAGCCACTATGGAAGTGCAGGAATCAATGTTTTTACAAAGTCTCTCCAAAACATCTTGGGGAAATTGGCACGTAGGGAAAAGGATGTTGTGTTTGGTGCAATGTTTGTGTTAACAGATGTTTCCGAGCTTTTTTTTCATGTGCTAACAAATGTTTGTGCTAACAAATGGTTCGCCTCTTTCAGTGGTCAAATGTGAAGAACCTCGAGTTGAAAATGGGAGAAAAATATCTGGATTTGGACTTCCCTACAGATACAAGGACTCGGTTGTGTTTGAGTGCAATCAAGGCTATTTCATGGTTGGAGAAATGGTGATTACCTGTGAAGAAAACAACACCTGGGTTCCTCCAAAACCAACTTGTGAGAAAAGTAAGACTTTTTCTGTGAAATTCCCTTTTCTCTTGCGTGTTGAAAGTGTTTTGGTTAAAGCAGAGCATCCTGGTGTTCTAGTGATTTCATGGGTGAAGGCAGGAGAAAAGATGTGGAATACAGGAAAAAATACTTGATACAGAGAATTAGGAGTATGCACAGTGAGGAAAGCTGTGGTATCCTTCTAGAGCAGTTGAATTCTTTCTGTGTGTATTTTTATGCAGCTCTTCAGCTCCTACTTTCTACAAATTATTGTAGAGCTCAGAGGAATAATGAACCAGTAAGGATTTCTGAGCAGCCACATCATAGGATTGTATGACCTTAATGAATACCTACAATGATGTTTAAGTTTTCTAAAGGGAATATTTGTGCTTAAAATTGGGGTAAAGTTAAACTTCTGACATGTGCTGAGCTATTTTTCTTACATGAAGGCAGCTTGTGTTTGTGGAATGAGTTACTGTGTTAGGATTAAACCTTATTCTCACTTGTTTGAAATTCCTGCATTAGTTACTGCAGATGTGTGTCCTGCCCCGAAGATCCCCAATGGGGTCCTGATTCCAAGCAAACCTGCCTATGGAAAAGGAGAGTCTGTCCAGATCAGGTGCAATGCTGGCTGCTCCTTCCCTGATGGCTCTGCAGAGGTGACAGTGACCTGTCAAGAACAGAGCTCCTGGGGTGCTTTACAGCACTGTGCCTGTGAGTAAAATTGCTAAAAGCAGGAGCAGACTGACGAGTTTTAAATATCTGATGTAGTAATACATTTTTAATTTTTTTTCCTCCCCTTTTTCTTTCCAGGTGAGTCTGAAGGTTCTGGTTCCACTCCAGTCATAAGTTATGGGACAGTGACACATGGACAAAAACCTTCCTACCATGTGGGGGATTTCATTACCATTGAGTGCTACACGGGGTACACCTTGGATGGGGAGGCTCGCATCCAGTACATTGGAAACAACCAGTGGGTGCCTGCAGTGCCAACCTGCCAGCTCAGTAAGTATGGGCTGCAAAAACTCCACTGGCATGAAAATACACCTGAGAGAACAGTCCTTTTATATTCAGGAGAAATAATTTATTGCAGCTCCCATCTTTATTTGATGTGAAAAATAGGGTTTGTTAAAATTAATTAAAATATTCATATTCTAAGTTAAATATTGTTATTTAAATTAGTCCGCTTCAAAGATAGAAGTACTTGATTTGAAATAGCTCTGTGAATATTTTTATAACAATGTTTGATTAAGAAGCACCTATGTTCCTCTTGTGATACTGATTCCTTTTGTTTTTAGGTGGATATATTATAGCCATCATCTGTGGTAAGTATTTTCTAAAACCTTAAAAAAATACAATACAAATAATATTTTTTTATGTGAAAACCCGTTTTTTATTCCAATCACCTGTGACTGCAGCAGGGTGATTTTGGAGTTCTGGTTAAAGCTGCATGATTCAAAACAGATTGCTTAGCTATTATAGTTTAATTTAGTGTGAAATGTGTATTTTCTCACGTGGTGAAGTCACATTTCAAAAGCAGTTTGCAACAACTTGGCCACTTGGATAAATTTCAGAGCTTGGGTTTACTGGGGGTGTGAGTAAATAACTCTGCCAGTGAACAGAAGTGTTCAGCCCATCCTCTGTCCTTGCTTTTGTTTTCCACATTTGTATAAACTTGTAAAAAGTAACGCTGGGGCCTTGTCATTCCTGTTTTAGTTTCTGAGCTGGTGGCGTCTTGCCATCTTGGTGGTCACTGGTTCTTCTATCCTGAAGAATCAAATATTTAATTTACATGGCTCATTCCATAAATAAGTTGGGTTATGGGGATTTTTTTGGGAGGTAGAGGTGGGATAGAGCAGTGGATGAAAACAAGGCTATTTCTGCAAATTTTTTGTTGCTTTTTTGTGAGCTGAGATGATCTTTATCACTCTAAGTTCCTTTTTTTTCCACTTTAATTCTTCCTAAAGTGATTGTGGTAGTTGTGGTGCTCCTGGCAGCCTTCTGGATCTACAAGAAATTCTTCTCACAGAATGGGTGAGTAAGCTTTCTTTTTATTAATACTGCAAATTCCCAAATGACTGAGCCAAAGCTGTGCTGATGTTTAAGTTTCTTGAGCTTTGTGTGCCCTTTCTTTTTCAAATGTCTGATTTTGTGTGAGCTCCTCTCAGCAGCTGATGGAAGCTAAAGCTTAACCATGAATTTCACTTTGGTTTTGGATCTGTTGTTCAGCTAAGCTGCTAATTAACACTTGCACTAATTTCAAGGAAGGAAAAACCCTGTTCTCAAGCTTGTGTTTGGCAGTGTCCACTTGCCAAGGAAAGTATTTTGTCCATCTGCTTCAAACGTTTCAGTTTATCTCCTAAAGCCAGGGGGAGTCTTGGTTGTGTGGGCTTGTGCTGCCAGAAGGTTTTCAGGTTTTTCTTCTCTTCCTGCAGCCCCAATGTTGGTGTCCCTATGTTAAAGACTTGCAAAATCAACTGTAAAATACTAGATTTGTGCATAAGCAATTAGTCTTCTGTTTTTAATGAGACATGTAGGGTGTTTTAAACTTTACCTTCAAACCAGCTGAGGTTTATGTGTGGTTTTTGATGGAGGGGCAGGAGATTTAAATTCCTCTTTGTGCACTGCTTTTTGCTGTGATGTCTCATTTTATCTTCTGGAAAAAAACCTTTTTGTTAGAGAAATATTTTGTAAAATGCAAAACACTGACAGTCCAGAGCAGGTTAGGTGGTACACACACAGTGTCACGATGAGCATCTCATCAGAGCAGTGTTGTCTTCTTCCAGAATCTGTTGGGATTTATCTGGAATACATGAAACAAAGGAAGGGATGCTTTAAATGAAGCAAACCAGGCTATTCCTGTGGCTTGTATTTGTAATTAAGTCCACACATAGGACTTGGCAGAGCCCTGGAGGTGGTTTATATCCAGTGAGGTTTTAGCCTTAGTGGCTTTTAAATAGGCAATGCAGTATCAGTCCAAGGGCCAGAGTGGGCTGCTGAGCAATTTGGTGCTTTTGAGCCACTGCATTTATTCAGTGCTTGGATATTCTGCAGCCTGGATGAGCCTGGGAAGAGCTCTTGGCAGTTCAGGGCAGCACTTGCTGCCTTTGCTTGTGGAGAGACTTCTCAGGGCGTAGAAAGCAGGAGGGATCTAAAGCAGCATCATCAAAAATTAAAGACTGTGACATTCCTGAATATCTAACAGCATGAAAAGCCTTATTGTGTCTAGTGCTTCCCTTCATTTTCCTCTCTGTGAACATCTGACTGTCAAAGCTCTTTCTTGTCTGAAAACCCTGATCTCATCTCCTTTCATGAAAGCCTCCATCTCCCTGTTTAGTGTTCTGAGTTCCTGATGCAGCTGAGCCTTTGTGAGCTGTTGTGCTTCCAGCCCCTGATCCTTGCTGGTTTGTAGCCTCCCAATGCCAGCAGATCTTTCCTTGGCCTCTCTTTCTTGTCTGTGTAAAATGCACTTGGATGGGACATTCAATTAGACCTTTCTCCCTTTCTGCTGTTCAGCTCCTACACAGTTGATGAGAGTTGCAAGGACATTTGTATTTTAAAAACTAATGTCCCAGCTGAGATGGAAGGAACTGCACAAATGAATTAATGAAAAGGTATAACTTTCCTCTTCGTTTGGACTTCTTGCAATGCAGCTTAAGTGTCTTTTTTACTGTGGTTTACTTAGAATTTCAGGAGTGTGGAATCCATTTAGCTGGGAGCTTTGGCTTCCTGTAAGAAAGAATATCTTAACTTTTCATTCATTTTAGGAGAACAGGATATAATATATAGAGAATTATCATTGAGCAGTGTCAGTAAGAGCTTCCAGTGATTGTAAATCACATTTCTTGGTGTTGTGTTCAAAGAATGAGTAACATATTGCCTACAATACTCAGAAGAATGTCTGCACCCATCCCCGTGGTGAGTTACTTTTCTTGGCAAATAGTTTAATTCCCTGTAATTAGAAGCTGGAACCACCTTTGGGCACTAAAACTCTAAAGGTAGTTTTGCATCCCTTCAGAGAAAACCAGATGACATTTCTCACAATTACTGATTCATCTGCATTTTTGCTTTCTAGAAGAGAATAAATGAAGGGTCTAACAAGGATCTTTTGAAACCTTCTTATGAAAAGGTGATTTCTTTTTCAAATTCAGAGTTCTGTAGCCCTGAAAAGAATGAAGATAAACTTGCTTTGAAGCTGATGTCCTCGCCTGTATTTTAACCTAATTCTCACTCCAGTGAGACTCATGTGGTGAATGTTGGGGTTCCTCCTGCACTTTTGTAGGGTTAAATAAGCTCTTCCAAAGTCTGGCTGTTCAAACCTTGTTTGAACAGAACACCTTGCAGCTCAGTTTCACTCTTCCTTGCCACTGTTTTGTTGTTCCTATCTCAACAGAGCTGGAACTACAAATATTTTTTTAAATCGGCATCTTATCTTCTTTTTTTTGTTGTTGTTGCTTTTCTCCATTGCACAAATTCTGAGGAGGTGATGGGTTCTCTTATTCCAGCTTAATGCAAAGGTCTTTTCATGTGCATAATCTTGATTTTATTGACTTGTGAAGGACAGGTGAATTTTCAATATTTTTTATGAGCTTTTATATGAACATTAAGCTTGGAGTTTATTCCAAAATAATGTATAGATTGAGAAATATCATCTTCACTCTAAAGAAAGATGTTTCTAATTAAGATAGGATCTGTTTTCTGGGTTAATTTTGCTTATTTTTGGAGACAAAAAATGAATCAGCAGATTAGAATAGAATTCTTCATTCCAATCTTAATTTTTACACATGATAAGAGAAATTACTGTTCTGGTGTGTCAAAATGCTGGTAATTCTGGAGGTTTTCTTATGGAATGTGGAACTCCTTAGAGACTTGCAGTAATAGCACTGAGGTTTTTTGTTAAAACAGAAATAATTCAAGAACATATATAAGAATGTCATTGTGAATTTTAATTCTTGAATGTTTAGGTATTGTAAGGTTGCTGTTTGTGGACTGCAGAATCAAAACCCACACTAACTTAATATTTCATTTTTGGTCAGAAAATATATGCTAAACAACACATTGTAATTAAAATGAATTCCAGGGTGCACCTGGTGGAATGATGGGAATCTTGGTTAGTTTTTGGTAATACCAGTCATCACTTGAAATGATCCCTTTGGATCAAAGGCTCTGCTGCTCCTTGGGTCATTCCTGACAGTTCAGTAGCTGAATGAAGCTAAAATCTCCTCAGTCCAGCAGTTGAGAGAGGCTAAAGAATGACCCAGTTTGTGACTTTACCTGCAGCTTTAATGACAAAACTAAGGATGTGCTTTCAGTGTAAATGTAAAACCTCTTGCAATGTAAAACCTCTGATTTGACTTGTTTTTTTGTTTGTAGGAAACGTGACGGCACTCCCAGTTCTGCCGAATATAAGATGTGTAAAGCATGACTGCCCTTTTTGGGGGGTGGGGGGGACCTTGCAGTGGGGTACCCCTGTCAGAGCTGCACAAAGACTGATTGCCCTGTCCATGAGGGCCCTGTGCTGTGTCTTGTCTGCTGATGAACTGGAGGAGGAGATGCTTGATAGGATAAAGAGTGTGTGTGCATATAGATAACACAGATGCTGCTTTGCCTTCTGGGCCCCTGCTCGTCCCTCTGTGCACGTGAGCTGGGGGAAAGGCAGTGCCTGTAGCATGCCAGAGTCTGGGGTGCTGCAGTGTCCCTGTCCCCCTGCCAGCTGCTGCTGCCTGCTGCCTTCAGTGCCACCTCTTTGCTTGCAGAAGATGTCCAATATTCCCCTCTCTCCTGCAGAGCTCTGCTCGCTCAAACCTTCCCATCCCTTTTTGCAGTAGAGGTGGTGTAAATGGTTCTGTTGTTTCCTTTGTACTCTGAAATGTCTTCTTGCTCATTCCCTGAAGAGTCTGGTGCCACTGAAGGTGATGTCTTTTGGAAGCTATCACAGTTAAGATCTTATATACTCTACCTCTTTGTCTGCCAAAGTTGGTTGCTGTATATATATTGAATTAAACTGTGCCTTGAAATCAGAGTTTTATGGCTTTTCCTTTGCTTTTAAAAAGGAAAAAAGCCATATATACTTCTGATTCTTTGCTATAATCTCCCAAAGACTGCAGTGGATTTGTTGGAACTGAAAACTGAGGGATTCTGTAGCAAAGGCATCCCCTGCCTGTTGACAGGAGGTCCCTAATTAAAGGAACTGCTGAGAGCTCAGTTGTGGCTGTGTCCTGTTGTGAGCACAGTGGAAGTTCCTTAGAGTTCTCGATTTTAGTGAGCTTTGATGGCAGTTCTGGAGATCTTCTGTTGCTTTCAAGGGTGGAAATGGGTGCTGTGTGATCCACCTTCCTTGCTTTTTTACTTGAAGTCACATACTCCGCATTTCTAACCTCTGGCTGCAGACTGGGATGTTAAATCAATCTCTGAAAAGCTGGATTTAGGATCAGATTCCTGTTTAGAAGCAGAAGCTTTTCCCTGTCACTCACTTCTCATGTTAAAGGAAAACCAAACCAGTTCAGTTGTGTGAGCACTGGTAGATGTGGTGGTCTCTTGTTTGCTGCTTGTTCATCAAATGTTTTAGTCCAAATTCCGACTTCAGGAGCCCCCGCCACTGTGTCTGCCATTAGTTTAGAGTCACTGCTACTTCTAATTCCTCAGCAAACCCCAAATCTTAACTAGAACAGGTTTTAGCTCCATGAATCTCACTATCAGCATACAGGCAGCTCCTGATTTTCTCAAAAACCCAAATAACCTCACTTCAGATGCTTGAGGCAGCATTGAAAGTGCTCTGGCTTGTCTGTGGCTGCTTGGCACTGCTCTCCCTGTCATCAACAGATTGTCGGCATGGCACAGAACTGTTTGGGGCTTTATAGGGCTTTTTGGGACAATCCCAGCAATCATATTGTTGGAGTTCATAATAGGCTCTGGTTATTAGAAAGGGGCTTTGGCTCTGCAGAAGGATTTGCTGTTCGTGGCCTGGCTGATACCTCAGTTTGAGAGTTTGTAAACACTGGGATGTGTGACTGGGACTGAGTGTGGTGCTGGTCAGGAGCTCAGCTTGCTTTTTGTGGCATCTGCAACATGCTGATATACACTGGAATGTACTTTATTGGGAAGTGAAATCACTGTAAAAAGTGGCTGTTTTTTGCTCTTCTTTCTGGATGTAAAGATTAGAGATTATTTGTAAAATTCCAAATAAAAATGTTAAATTATTTAGCAGTAAGTGTTTGTCTTTCATTCATCACTGTGCTGAGCAGCTCTTCTCCCATTGTTATCCAGATGATTTTTCATGTCCCAAATATCAGGTAGAAACTGCTGAGATTGAAGTTTGCAGGTTGTGCACAGAGTTACTCAGTGGTCGTATAGGGGATGGGTTTTAATTTGCTGAACACCTTTTCCTGTTAGAATTGCAGAGAATTTCCCAGAACCTCCAAAATTTTACAGTGTTGACTCCAGAAAAAATTGGTGAAAAGTTGATGGAGAAGTGTGTGACAAATGCAATCCTTAGGGAATACAGCTCTAGTGACCTGTGACCTGTGAAGGAGAGTGGATTTAGGAATTGTGTGAATTTGACACTTGAAATGTACTGAGCTTCCATGTGTGGAGTCGGGTGCCTGATAGAGCGAAGCCTTTCAGAAAAAATAACTTCATATGCTGTATTTCATTGCAGTTTGTGGTTGTGATACTCACAGTGAGTTGGTGTGGAAATGAAGCCAGGCTGCACAACTTCACACTGTGGAGTTTGGGTTTGCAGTGAGCATTGAGGGGATAAGCAGAGTTTCTAGGAATGGGATGATCTTTAATCTTCCCTCCAACCCAAACCATTCTGGGATTCTGCTCTGTGATTCTGTGAATCTGACTTAAACACTACAAATTAATTTGGCCTAATTGTCTTGAGTCCTGTGGTGTGTTTCTAAAACTCAGTGCTGCATGAATTATTTCCTTTTGGAGTCTGGAACTGATAATTAGAGACGTGAGCTCTGTGCTAAGGGAAAGGCTGCATGGAATAAAAATGTGTTGTTGCCATCTACTGGTGACAGGGGCAGTGGGAGTAACAAAACAGATCCAAAGTTGTGTGGTTTAGGGTTAAATAGTGTGAAGTGACAGTGCTTGGTGGGTTTTCAGTGTCACACTTAAACCCTGCCCATGGCAGGGGTTGGAACTGGAGGATTTTAAGGTCCTTTCCGAACCAAACCATTCTGATTCTCTGAATCTGAATATTTCCGAGGGTGGTGAAAGTGGAGCTGGGGGCTGAAATGAAGAGACTTGCAGCACTTTAGGTGTTGTCCAGCAGGGAATCAGGTGATCTCTCTACCTGAGACAGAGCCCAGGAACATAGAGCACACAATTTTATTTAAAAGGAAAAAAAAATATCTGTGTAAAGAACAGGTTAAGGCAAACAAACAGCACATGGAGTAGAAGTGGTCAGAAGGCTGGGTGGCTGTGTTGTCACACCCAGGCCCTGGCTTGCTCGAGTTGAAGAAGCTGAGTTATGTTTGAAGAGATGCTTCTCTCTGTCTGGAAGCATCCCATCCTCACTTGAAGGGGATGCTGACTGTCCTCCTTGTGTGCAGGATGTTCAGCCTGTGGGGGAACTTCAGGTCAGAGAACAGCAAGCCAGTGGTGTTGGGGAGGCCAGGTCGTGCTCTGGATGGTGTTTGTTTGTGGCCTGGGGGGTGAGGGAAGGAAGTTTCCCATTGCTGTTGCTTTTCCCCCTACATCATAACCGATTTCAAATGGTGCTAGACAAAAACTGAGACTCTGAACACCAAGAGAAATCGGTCAGCCTGTGTAAGAGACGTTTTCCTGGCTCAGAGAAGGATCCTCTTGTAGATGACAGCTATGCATTCTTTAGAGATGACTACTCAGTGCTCTGATCAAACCTTCATCCATACAGGGATCAGCTTTTCCATGTCTGGGAACACGCTGGACAGCAGGGAGGGCAAACAAAAGAGTTCAGCTTCGTTCTAGGTTGGGATGCAGGGCTGGAGAAGTGAAATATTGCTAGGACGTACCAGCAGCAAACTGGAAAATTATGCTAGAAAAAGGAGCAGGTTCTGTGTGTGCTGAGAAGTGATTCTGGAAAAAGGAGTGGGTTGTGTGTGTGCTGTGTGGCATCCTCATGATGCCCGTGGCAGGGGCTTGGAACAGGATGATCTTTAAGGTCCCTTCCAACCCAAGCCAATCTGGGATTGCTGAAGGCACTTCTGTGTCTGACTGCTGAGGTCAAATGGTTGGGGGAATTTCTGTGTTTGCAGAGCTGTGGAATGAGAATCCTGTGGTGATGGGGTCCCCAAGTAGAGGGTGGAAATCCTTTTGCTCTGAGGCAATAAATTAAAGGTTGATCTTAGTTTTTGGGTATCAAACATACTCTGCCTGTCAAGGTACAAAAGATACCACATTGGTTTTCATGCAACTTGCGGATCACTTTACTCTGGACAACTTGAACTCATATCCATTGTTTATTAAGCAGAAGTACAGGAGCAGGAGGCTGTGCTGGTGTGGCCCTGGCTTGGGAGGGTGCATACAGTGGTTGGAGAAGTGTCTAGAAATCAGATGATGTTACAAAATGGATGGCTGGCAAAAAAATAACCTTTGGAAAAGGGGCTGATTTGAGGAGCAGAGGATGTTGAAGTGAGCAGGTGCTTGGTCTCCTCCCACGCTGTAATTCTTGCTCCTAGAACACTGATTTCAAATGGTGCTAGATACAAAGTGGGAAAATCTAAGCCACCATGTGAAACCAGCTTCCAGAGGAAGACACATCTTGTGCATGGCTGCAGGCTGAGGGAGAAAATCCTTCATCTCCACCGTACCTAGAGAAAAATTATTTTATTTAATTTTATTAAATACCAAGACAGTTACCTTGGGCTTAGCTACTTTATGGATACACTTATTTTGTGGCATCTTGTGGATGGTTGAGGCTGGTCTAGGAGAAATTAAATATGTGGTGAGGAAAACCCCCAGCCTGGCAGTGAGTGTTGTTTCCTGCCCTAGCCAGGTGGAATGCACTCAAATTCTTCCCAGCAAGTGATGATCAAGGTTTTATTTCTTGCTAGTGCAGAGCACGATGCTGATGGGGTGAGTGTGGGAAGTTTGTGTGGTACAGGAACACTTTTTCCATTTCACTGCAGATGAAACCAGGCTATAAGCCTCATTCTGTCCAAGATGGAGAGTGTTCTGGCTTTCTGTCACTCACTGATCAGAGAGTACAGGACAGATCAGGTGCTTTTTGTGACAGGGAAAGGAAATGTGAGTGTCCTGATGGAACTTCCTCTGCCAGCAGTCCCTGTGCTTTAAATAAGCAAGGACTTGCAGACTTTTGTGAGACAACTTTTAAATTCTGCAGGCAGAATGAAAATAAATTGGATTGAAAGCACTTTTGAGTGTGGGTCAGAACAAAAAGGGAGCATTCACAAATTGAACTGTAAATGGTTCAGTGGAAGTTGTCGAGGAAGGAGAGTGTGAAAATGAGTGGCTGATGGTTCCTGGAACTGCAGCAGGGCTGAGCACTTAACCTGCAGTGTCCACAGCTCAGAGCAGAGGGACTAGAGGGGGTGTTGAGAAGCCTCTGAACTCCACACATGCATAATTCAGGAGCTATCAACCCTTGGATAAGTGTCTGACCTGTGCTGGAGTAGAGGCCAATGTGAAATGGAACAAAGCACAACTGGAGGCAGCAGTTCCACTTATTGATGCCCTGGGGTTTTGGCAGCTCTGTGTATTCCTGTTGTAACCACATCCAAAAATCTGCTCCGGCGCCTCCATCCTAATGCACACTCCCAGGCAGGAGAGGGAGAGCTCAGAGACAAGAGCTTGTCCTTCCAAGAAAGAGGGGTGGAGGAAGGGGAAATAGCTGGACTAGATTCCTGTGTCTGGATATTTACTGACGTTTCTAAATCCAGTATCTGGGGCAACAGGGTGAAAGACGAGTGGAAAGCAGGTTCCCTCCCCAGTGCCTGCCATGTGGCACAGTTATTTAGGAGGCACCCTCTATTATCAGGTGAGATTTACTCCTGAAAAGCTGCACCAGGAGTTGCTGCTGAGAAGAGGCAGCTGCAGGACCACAGACTCACAGCAGCATCTCTGAGAAACAGGGTTACAGTGAGCTTTGCTTTGGTTTTTCCTTGCCTTGGTAGTAAGCATTGCAAAGAAATCTTCATTAGGGTTTTGAAAAATAGCTGGAGTAAAATGTCACTTAACTTTGTGCTGCTGTAAATGGGGAACTTGTGTCCAAGTATGAGACTTAGAAGGACTGAACACCCCTGCACATCTTCCCCCCCTGCAAAGGAGACCAACCTTTCCCAAAATATCATGCAGCAGATGAAGACCAATGGCTCATTTATTATTTATAGTTTTGATAAAACCAGGTTTCACTTCAGCATAATTAAGATGCTGCTGCCCCTCCTCCAGGATACCTGGAGTTTGTCCTGTTGCCTTCACCAGCTCCCCAGAAGGTGTCAGCCCTTCTTGGCAAGGTGCAGGTGCACATTTGGGAAGGGTTCATCCGTCTGTGCTCTCCTTCCCAAGGCTCCCAGTGTGTCTGGGCAGGAGGAAGGAGCAGTTCAGGATGCTGGGAATGTGCACATGGGCAGGAAAACAGGAGCACAGCATGGTTTGGGTTGGAAGGGACCTTAAAGCTCACCCAGTGCCACATCTGCCACGGGCAGGGACACCTTCCACTGTCCCAGGCTACTCCAACCTGGCCTTGGACACTCCCAGGGGTGGGGCAGCCACAGCTGCTCTGGGAATTCCATCCCAGCCCCTCCACACTGTCACAGGGAAGAAAATGAAGCAGTGCTGTTCTCAAACTTTGGCTGTGTGGAGAGCAGCAAATGCTGTCACCTGTGCTTGCCTTTATCACAGTGGTCTGGACATTCCAATAAATAACAGTAGGGAAGGTACAATATCATTCTGTGGGTTTTGCTCCTTTTCAGATGTTTTAGTGGCAGTGCTGTTCTGTAGCTTCTTTCAGAGGAACAATTCAAAGCTTTTAATGGACTTCACACTGCTTTATACATTCCATAGGAGACAAAGACAAAAAGGGAATCCCTGCCTTCCCTGTGAAAGGGAACTTCCTACCCTGAGACCTTCAGTCTGCAGGAACAAGGCCAGCCTGGATGTCACAGACCTGATTTTGCACAAGCTGCACCTTCTATAGAAAGGCAGTTCCAGGGCTTTTGCAGAAAGCAAAACAGATCTCAGTGTGCATCATAAATTTTTTTCCTCCATTTTCACATCACAGGGTGAAACTCATGGTTCACCAGGCTCTGCTCTCCCCTGGAGAAAATAATCCCTGTTTTACATGCTGAGAATCTGAGCTTGATGCATCATCCTCCCAGTGAAGGAATGAATCAGCCCAAGGCCAGGTGCAGGACAAGGGGTGTGACAGTACAAGTGGTGACCTGTAAGGGGAATGGAAATGAATGAACTTCTAAGGTTTCAAAAAAAGCCTCCTCAGCGTGGGGAGCCTGTAACTGCATCTCTTTGTTGTGCAAGTCTGGTGCTGCGTGGGTCAGCTGTGGACAAATGTGCTCTGACTTGCACTGGGGGCCAGTCCTCAGTGTGGAACACTTGGTGTGTCAGAGCACCGGCCTGGGCTGAGGGAAGGCAGAGTGCGGGCTGCACTGCTTAGGAAAATTGGTATTTGTGCCTAGAGATGCCTCTGGAGAGGCCACTGCTGTTATGGGCAGCAAAAGCAGGTACTTCATGAGTTTAAAGCATAAGGGAGATGCTTTTTTCCTTTATTAAGACCACAATAAAAACTCCACATTACAATCCTGAATTGAACTTAGCCTATTCTTTCAGTCCTCCTTTTGCAGCCTTACAACTGCAGTACAAATGGAGTTAGACACTCTGTGTCTGAAACCCCCCAAAACCCAAGGCAGGCTGAACACTGGGACAGGATGGGGGTAAAAGCCTGTGGAGCTTTGTGTCCCTTTTGACTGTGAGCAGTGGGACAGTCAGGCCTGCTTGGTTTGAGTCACTGATTTCAATTCCTGTTAAGGGGAATCTCTCAGAGCACGCCGCGGTGTCTGTTTTAGCATGGTGACCATTAGAGGTGTGCTTAGATATTAGTGCTGTAGTTCCCCATCTTGTGATCCCCTCTGCTCATCTGAAATTGCTTTGACTTGCCTGGAGTCATCCAGTTCTCCCCCAGCTTTGCTCTCAGGAGAGTTCCTGGGCAAACCCTCAGCTTGTTTGGAGGGCACAGGAACTGCTGAACCCTGGATCCTGTGGAGGATTTCAGATTTCACAGGGAACAGCGAGGTGAAACTGGGCAAGCTCAGGAAGAACACTGTACTTTCATGGCTAGAGGTCAGGGGAGGGCAGTAGGAAGGAAAACTCATCAAATTTAGCCCTACACAGCCTGAGTGAGCAGCACGTTGCAAAACTCACTCCACTCAAACAAATGATCCACCTAGGCACCTGCAACCAGGAAGGCCATTTTCTATTCCTAACTCCTGTACCTAAGCATCACTTTAGAATGTAAAGTACTGATTGCAGGGCTTGAAAGCTCTCACAGGGAGATGATTGTTGTGATTTGTACAGTCAGTTCAGGAACATGGTGTTCCCCCAACACCACCACTCCAGCTCCTCCAGGTAATGGCAAGGGAAGTTATATTTTTCTTTTGTATCATTCTAGAGACAAAAGAATGTCCTGTGCCAGGGAGGAGCATAAGGAAACAAACCCAGCCTGATGTTCACTGAAGTATAACCTGCCTTTAAACCAGACATCTGAAATCAAGCCTTTAGTTTAACAGTACCTGCAGTACAAGGACCTGGCAAAACAGCAGGAGAAAATCACTGACCAAACACTCCTGGCTGACTCCCCCAGGCACGTGAGCTGCTGGTCTGTCCCTGTTCCCAGGGTTTCCATCATTCCATCCCTGAAACATCCCCGTGTGTCCAAGAGCCATTGTCAGTGGATACCCAAATGCAACAGTGGCTGCTGTTGGACTCCTGAGTGCTGTGAGTGTTTGTGGGGGGAGCTGGAGAGATGAGCTTCACTCAGAAATAGCTCTTCCTTGGAAAGCTGGAGGGCTGAATCACAGTGTGTTGGCTCAGCTTTTAGCAGACGAGCCATCACATCTGCCTCCCTGTAGGCGAGGAGCCGTCACTGGCACCAGGACTGGCAGCCAGGTTCTGTCCCTTTGGAAACCAGGGAATAACCATGGGGAAGGCGAAGGCTCATCATGAGCAGGGTCAGGCTGGGCGCTTGGCGAGGTGGGCTGGCAGCTCTGGGAGCAGGAGGGGGCTGCTCCCCCTGTCCCTCTCTGTCCACAGAACCTGCCCCCCAGTTGAACTTAGGGCACTAAATAAGTTCTTTTGCTCAGAGGCATTAACCACTCCTCTGCTGCCTGGGAGGCTGAGAGAGCCAGAGCCAGCCCTGAGCATATCCATGGCTGGTGTTGTCCTGAGACAACTGAAAATATGAGTGAGATGGGCAAACAGGAAGACCAGGGAAAAATGGGGAAACCTGGGAGGGGACAAGACAGCTCCTGAGCTGAGGTATCTGACACTGAAAGCACCTGAGAGACACCCCTGGCTTGACAGGCTCTGGGGAGCCTGCACAGTGCACCTGATGGCCACAGAAATGCAAATGTACACAGAGATTTTCTTCCTAGAACAGAGTGTGAGCTCTTAAATACGTGTCACTCCTGGTTCCCAGCAGTGCAGAGGAAGTTTTTGGGGAAAAGGGGATGAGGGAACTAGTGGAAAGTTTTTGCAGCTGGCAAGAAACAAATTACAGATATGGATTTTAAAATCTTACAGAGACATAGGATTTTTTTGGAGCTACAGTTTTGGGCTCAGTGCCCCCACTGCTGCAGTAATGTTAATTTTCAGGCCTCCCCTCCAGGTTCAGGCATGGGCACAGTTGCAAGAGAAGTAGATTGGGAGTTCCTGAACCAACTGGTTGCTGACCATGAGTCAGGGGAATGACCTTGCAGCAGGCGGTTCATGGTGCCGCTCTCGGAGCCGTGCCAGGATAAACGGCACTGGCATCTCTGAGTGCTGGTGGAACCATTTTGTGACATTCCAGCTTGGCCTTTTCTACTGCTGCCTTTGCACAGAAATTGTTTGGGTGGATGGGAATGGGATAGTGTATTCCCTTTTTTCCTCACAGCCTGGGCTTGGGACTATCTATATAAAGAGATAAAGAGGACATGGACAACTCTTGCCTACATCCTTGTCCATTAACATCAGCATTACAGATATTTAACCAAATTAAATCTTTCCCTCCCAGCCATAACCATATTAAACTGTAAGAAAACACCATGATAAAGTTTTAAAAATCCTACGCAGCAGCACTGAATTTTCTTGATAGGTCTGGGAGAGATTTGTCAGAGGAGAGAGGGTAGAACACTTGGCATTTAGACATTTTAATGAATGTTCCCAAATAAGAAAAGAAAAACATTTGCTTGTAGACTTTAAGCTTCTCACAGCATCAGAAAGCTCCTGACACAGAGCCCAATGCTGTATTTGTATAACATGGAAATGAACAGCAGCAGCAGCAGAGCTGCAGGCTCCGAGCCTGCTCTGTGAGCAGCAAAATGGCCAGGGGTGCTGGGGCTCATCCGAATTCCTTCACCATTTGGGGGGTCACTAGGTGGGTGTGATACCCCGACCCTTTGGGTGTGGCTCAGACTCTGACATCAGTATGAAAAGAATGTTTCTAACCATATTCAAGCTTCTGCCCCCATCAGCTCCACTCCCTAAAGCACCGACAGGAACCAGCAGCAAAATTCGTCTGCGTCACAGATGTAACATGACCATCGGCAAAACAAGAGCAGGAGGAGATCATGGCTGCCTCGTCCCTCACAGAGCCTGCCTGTGCTAGCAGACAAGAAGAGGTAATGCTTCTAAATTTCTGTCATGGGCATGTGAAATCCTGCCCTTCCTTCCCCGAATCCTGTGGTCGCTGAGCGGTCAGAACGCCCGAGAAAATTGCGTGTGTTTTGTCGGCGTGGTACCGAACGCTGCGTCACGATGCTGCACCAAGGCCGAGGCAGAGCAAACCCCACTCCCCAGAGCAGGGAAACCCAGATACAGGGAAATGAATCAGCTCATACAGTGCCACACACACAAGTGTCAGAGGGAGGGAGAAATCACAGCTTTCCCCAGTCCTTTTGCGGCACTGTGCAGAAAACGATCACGGAACAGTTACCCAGGTGCAGCTCACGGTGACAGTGCCACCCCTGTGCACACAATCACTGCTGTCCTACAGAAATGTGCCATGTCCCCTTCTTAGCCTTGTTTCCTGCCAGTCCCACAGATTTACCTGCTGACAGTAACCTCAATTCCTGGGTAATGAGATTTACAGCTGGAGTTTAACATTGAAATAACTCCTCTTTTATCCGTCTCCTTACCCTCCCTGCTTTCAGGCACAGTTAAACCATCACTGTGGCCAAAACATGGTGGCAAAAGGAATTAAACCAAATACATCCCTGCTCTGAACACACTCAGCAGCCAGTGACACCTCCTTGAAAGCCATGAAACAGCACTAGCTTTACAAAGTCAGGGCTTCTCCACCCCACAGCCGTGATGGGGAAAACCACAGAGTTGTCTCAGGAAAACAGGCTCAACCCACCCATCATCCACACAACCCAGCATCGTGCCTTAGTCCAGCTCCTGGCTGTACAGAACCCCCTCCACAGCTGCCTGGGAGTGTTCTCATGTGTGTGTGTGTATTTATGCCTGTCTGTCTGGCTGCAGGGACTGCTGTTCTTGTTGTTCCCTTGCTCTGCGGATCTGGCGCTGCGGGAGGCAAGGATGCTCGGAGGGAGCCAGCTACAGCCAGCGAAGGCTCAGTGAGTCAGGAGGGGTTGTGATGACTGCAGTAAGAGGCTGAAATTCCCTACGGAATCTGGCAGGAAAGGAGGGGAAGGAGGAAAGATGGAGATGGGAAGGAGGGAAAGAAAGTGGGGAGTGGCACGTACAGTCTGTTGGGCTCTTCCCTCCCCGTCCCTGCGCCGCACTGCCGTTGGAAATGGCGGCCCTGCGCAAAGGACGGCGTCGCGAAAAATCCGCAGCGCCTGCGGCCTTCGCGACCAAACCTCCGAAATTCTGTTTGGGGTGTAAATCCAGCCCTTCCCTCTCTCCCTGTCTCCCAGAGCACCCTGCAGAGGCCAGGCTGCAGCCCAGGCGATGGGGACGGCGGCCATGCAGTGCATGAGCCCAGTGGTTGTTGCTAAACAACCAACCCTGATGCTGGAGATGGCAGCCTGTGAGTAACAGAGATTAAACTCTCCTGCTAGCACATCCTGAAACTTGGGTAAGCCTCAGGATGATGAAAGGCTATGGAATAATGGTCCCTCTTGTATGAGAAAGCAAAGTTACCACTCCACTGCATAATCGGGAGACTCCCTCGGCCAGAAGACCAAGCTCAAGGCTGGCTGCGTCCTCAGCACTTCCAGGCAGAGCTGCCATCTTCATTGCTGGGCGCTTTAAGAAGAGAGGTGAAAGAATAGTATAGTAAATGGTTACGAGGGAAAGGTGTTCTCCCCTTCACTTCCTTATCCTCTCTTTCGAGCTGCTCTCTGCCCTCAGTCTCCCATTCATCCTTAACCAGTTCCCAATCCTTCCGTCCTTGCTTTCTAATGCTGTTACTCTTTTGCAAACCTTTACAGACCCATCACTGAAGGCAGTCTCCATCTCTCTGTGATGTTACCAAGCCTGTGGCAAACCCACACTTGTGCAAACAAAAGCTGACTTTGGGCAAGAGTCGTTTTCATTTCTTTAACTATTCCCACAACATAATTTCCAGGTGCAATCCCTGCCCCGAGCAGTTTACAGTGCTGCTCCAGCACCTCGCAAGGGAGAAGGAAGCAAGGAGAAAAGCCCTGAACCCCAGTACTTTCCCCTGCACCGTGGGCTGCAGCTCTGACACGTCGTTGTCGCGACTGGACGGCGAAACGAGACCTCCTGGGAGCACCCATGGGTGAAGGGCTGCGCCCAGCACACCCAGCAGTGACCAGCTCCTGCCCGAGGGACGCCTGGCATCCCGGGATCAGAGGTGGGCATGGAGCGAGCAGCGGGCAGGGAGTGGTGGGCAGGGAGCTGGGAGCAAGCAGAGAAGGGCAGGGAGCAGGAGGAGCAGACGGGCAACAGACAATGAGCAGGCAGGGAGTAGGACAGGGGCAGCTGCTGGTGCTGAGTACTGGGATCAACATTCAGGTTGCAGAGGGCAGCCCAGCGCTCACACGGTGCTCTGCTGACAGCAGGGAGCAGGCAGGGAATAGGGAGCGGGCAGAGGGCAGCGGGCAGTGGGCAGAGGACAGCCCTGGTTGTACGGCTGCTCCGCTGACACCCGTGGGCCAGGAGCAGGGCACTGAGCAAGGCAGGGAACAGAAGGAGGGAGCGGGCAGTGGGCAGTGGGCACGGCCAGTCGCACGGCCGCTCCGCTGACACCCACGGGCAGGGAACAGAAGCAGGGAGTGGGCAGTGGGCAGCAAGCAGTGATAGAGGGCAGAGGCAGCCCCGCTCCTCACCCACTCTGCTGACACCCGTGGGCAGGGAATAGGAAGCAGGGCAGGGAGCAGGCAGGGGATAGGAAGCAGGGCAGCGGGCAGTGGCAGTTGCAGTGGGCAGAGGGAAGAGGCAGCCCGGTCCTGCCCGCTCCGGCCTGCTTCTCTGACACCTGCGGACTGGGACAGGGCAGGGAGCAGGCAGGGAGCAGGCAGGGAATAGGAAGAAGTGGCAGAGGGCAGGGGCAGCCCTGTTCCGGCCGCTGTGCTGACAGCCACAGGCAGGGAATAGGAGGCAAGGAAGGGAATATGGAGCAGGGCAGTGGCAGTGGCAGTGCCAAGGGCACAGGGCAGAGGCAGCCTCGCTCTGGCCACTGCACTAACAGCCGTGGGCAGGGAATAGGAAGCAGGGCAGTGGCAGCGGCAGTGTCAGGGCACAGGGCAGAGGCAGCTCCGCTCCCCGCTCTGGTGCGGCGCTGACAGCCACGGGCAGGGAATAGGAAGCAGGGCAGCGGGCAGGCAGTGAGCAGGCAGGGAATAGGGAGCAGGGCAGCGGGCAGGCAGTGAGCAGGCAGGGAATAGGGAGCAGGGCAGTGGGCAGGCAGTGGGCAGGCAGGGAATACGGAGCAGGGCAGTGGCAGTGGCAGTGTCGGGGCACAGGGCAGAGGCAGCCCCGGTCCCCGTTCTGGTGCAGCGCTGACAGCCACGGGCAGGGAATAGGAAGCAGGGCAGCGGGCAGGCAGTGGGCAGGCAGGGAATAGGGAGCAGGGCAGTGGGCAGGCAGGGAATAGGGAGCAGGGCAGTGGGCAGGCAGGGAATAGGGAGCAGGGCAGCGGCAGTGGCAGCGGGCAGTGTCGGGGCACCGGGCAGAGGCAGCCCCGCTCGCCGCTCCCCGTCGCCGCTCGCCGGCCCCGCGCGGCCAATGCGCTCGGCCGCTCCACCTGCCAGCCCCGGCGCGCCCAATGGCGGCGCGGCCCCGGCGCTGCGCCCGCCCCGGCCAATGGGAGCCGGCGCTGGCTCTCGTTAATGATGCAGCAGTCCAGGGAAGACTATCACATGTGAGCTGGCCGCCTGCCAGCATGGAGACACCGAGAGAGCAAGGTAAACAACTTTCCAACGCCAAAATGATGACATTTAATCCCTAAATGCTGGCTTCCCGGCTCGACTCATCTTTAACCCCTTTCAGCTGGTGTGGAAGCGTCTGGAAGGCACCCGTCTACCTGTCCCCAGTGCTTTTAAAAACTGGACGACGTGCCCTGCAATGATCACTGCGTCACCGTTTGCCACTTTGCGAACTACGCAGTGACAAACCTCCGAGCTCCGAATCGCAGGGCGCCTGTTAACCCCTGCACCAACCCCTCGCTGACATGCCAGCCTCCAGGGACACGGGGGGGGATAAAAAGCCCAGACAAACCGGGAAAACGGCAGTCTTTGCAAAGTTGTCATCTCTCCCCCATGACTACTAGCCTCCTCTGCAGTACAGCAATGCCGGCAGGAGTGACATTAGTACAACCTGTGCCGTCGCTCCATTGAGAAAACAGCTCTGACGCAGAACAGAGCAACCCTACCCAGCCAAAATAATAATAGAGGCACTTTGGGATCCGAACTTAGGGACGCCGGGGGAAAGGGACGCCCTGCAAATAATCCAAATACGTAGCTGCAGCTCCAGCCCCATCCTGATCAAAGGGTACGTACGTGAGGGAGACGAACCGGACCGAGGAGCCGTGCCCGTGCACCATCTGCGCAGTCCTCAGCCCTCCGCTCGCTCTGGAGCGCCGCAGAAGAGAAGGTTCCAGAAATTTCCTTCCCGTTAACCCTTTCGGTGTCTGCCCACTCTCCCTCCCCGTGGGATTAAGCGCGCCGGGTCTCCAGCATCGTCAATGGGCGAAGCCTCCTACGCCAAGCGAGTACGAGGTGCAAATGGCAGTGGATGGTGGCAGGAGCCCAGTCCGTGGTGTTGGTGCCACTTCTCTTCCTGGAGCCCTCTCTGCCTCTTTTGCTGCCTCTCTCCCCTCTTGCTGCAGCAGGGCTGTTGCTGGTAGACCTATCGACGGAGCTTGCTCTCTCACTCTCTCGCTGAGCTCTGTGACGCAGCTCTAAATTCTCCAGCCTGCTCCTTGTGTTATAAGAGCGGAACTGCAGCTTTCCAGGGAGCCCGTGCCAGCGGTGCCAGGGCCAGGCAGACCGGAGGGAACGTCGCTCCTGGACTCTGCACCTTTTTTTGGCAATTATTCTGTTCCTCACCTCTGTTTCTTCGCTTCCTCCCCGGCTCTCAGCCTCGCATCTCCTTCTCTGCTTCTGAGTCATACTTAGCAGGTTAACTCTTTTAGGATTGGTAGTCAGCAGTACAAATCTCGAGCGATAGCAGCTGAAACCACAGCCAACTTTTTTGGTGTTTTCTGCTTTAAAAAAACCAAAGCAAATCTTGCTGGCTCTAAAAAACAAAAACATGTGCACGCACACACACGTTGCAGTAGAGAGTTGGTGCTTTCTGATTAACTGTTTCAGTGACAGGAACCACTTCTTGACTTCCTGAAATTAAATATTTTAGGCCCACGTCTTATAAATCCTCAGCAAGCAGATCCTCTGAAGCACAAGGCAGTTTAAGAGGAGCTGCTGCTGTGAACAAATGCAGGACTTGTGGGCATGAGGCTACTGCTGGCCCCACAAGCCCCTGCTCTGCTGGCCACAAAACGCTGATCTGAGCATGGTTTTGCTGCTGGGCAGATGCGTGGCGTGAGATAAGGTGCTGAAAGTGCTGGAAAGCCATAGGATCTTCTTAATCTGAACAGCATTAATAAGTGTTATCACACACACAGATTCCAAACGCTCGGCGTAGGCAGGGGAACTAATAACTGCGCTCCTGGAGTCACCAGAATCCAATAATCCCCGACAAAGACAGTCCACAGGCAGCTCTGCATTTCAGCACAGCAGGCATCATCCCCAGGCAAGGAGCCTTTTGCAGCTGCACGCTCTCTCCTCGCCTCTGCCCCCCAGATCCCTCGAATAACTCCGGTGCCTCCGGCCAGCCCCGGCGCCCGGCAGGGGAAGCAGAGCTGTGCCAGCACCGGGAAGTGTGGAGGAGGATCCGCGGTAGGTGCAGCTCCTGGGAGTCAGGGAAGCTGATGGAGAGGCAGGCCTGTGAGGGAGTTGATGTGGGCACACAGAGCAGTGAGGAGCAGTCCATCAGGAAACACGGAATGCAGAGAGATCCCTGCTCCACTCCTCCGTCTGCCATTTTAATTCTGACTTCAGAGCCGGCTGCGAGCCTTGGGTTTTTCACTACAACCAAAGCTGAAGTAACCACGGTTTTTTCTCCTCGCAGCGTCTGAAGAGCCTGAGCTATTTTGGGATTTGTCTGTACTACACTGAAAATGACACCTGTTACGCACAGACACAAATGAGAAAAATTACAAGCGCCCGGTTCCTCTGATGGGATCCCACAAAAAATGGGGTGAGATCCCGTGGGTCAGGGCTGGGCGAGCAGCACGGGCTGTGCCCTGGGGAGAAGGGGATGACCCCAGTGAACTGAACAGACACCAGTATGAGAAATGTAGAAAGTCTGTAGTAGCTGATGCAAGGGGAAATCAAGCCTCCATGTGACCAGAAGAAGTAGTGCATGATCAACTAAATGCCACAATACATGGCTTCTTATGCAATCGAGCCCATGGGACTCCAGGCCTTACACATCCACTTTGTGGCCAAAGCTGCAGGGATTAACTCCTTCCTTAATGACTGGGAGAGAGCACAGGCTCCTGAAATGAGTAATCCCCCCGGGCAGGCCGGGCTTTGCTGCGCCTGGAGCTGCCTGCGCTGCTTCCAGTCCCCCCCGTTCTCTCAGGAGCCCCAGCACGCAGGGCCAGGGTGGATTTTCTGGGTTCCCACATCTCCCTGGTGGTTTGCAGCACGCTGTGCTGGCAGGCAGAGGCCACCTCGAGATGCAGGGAGCTCCAGACGTGACAGATGAAACAGCAGAGCGAGATGAAAGCTGGGAGCCTCAGAAAGGAGGCACTTCACTGATGCTTTCGGCTCACACTGCTTTTGTCAGGCCTGTGGTGCGGTAGGAAGGTGAAACCAACTTTGATTTATTCCAAATGACTCTTTCTGGTTGCTTTCAGGGGAAATGCAGTGTTTATTTTACGGTTTTCTTTCCTTTGAAAACCACCAGCCCTGGAATGTTGCTGTCTTTGCCTGGCTCTAGGTACTCGCTGGTGGCACTCAGGCTCCCAAGGAGAACTCAGAGCTGTGCTGCACTGGGGAACAATCAACTGTGTGAGAAATCTTGGGGCAGTGGAAAACTTCAGCCCTCACAACTGAGTGATGAGGCCTGAAAACATAAAGTCATTTTCTGACACTCTTGGGCAGGATTCGGTATTTTCTGGTTCAAACATCTTTGACACTCCACTATAAAAATCTAGGCTGCTTTTCTGGTTTAACTGGAGCCCATTTCCATGTGTTGCTACTGGTTTGGGTTGGGGTTTTTTTTAGCTTTTTTTTTTTTTTTCCCCTTCCAGACTTTAAAAGTAGGAGGCAGAGCTTTGGTTTTGTAAGAACTGCCTATGAGGGTGCAAAGTCCTGGGCTAGAAAGCAGGCTTGGAAAATGGGAATAATCCATGGCTGTGGTCTGAGACAGTGGAGATCAGTGTCACTGTAAGAATGTGGCAGGGTAGGAATCTCTTCCAAAACTGGGAGTGACCCCATGGCTGACTACAGCTGGGCCCTGAGAGCTTGCAGTGATGATTAATAGAATTAAGAGTTTTTATAGTGCTGAACATTTTGACAAGATTTCAGGACTTGCAACTGGGATGGCTTGGGCTGGGTATTTGGGGGAAATGCCACTTTTTTGAGGAGAGAGGGCGGGGATTGACCCTCCAGGCTGTCATTGACAATTCCCTCAGCACCACGAAAGGATTAGGGAGCGATTCCTCAGCTTCCAGAAGGAGTTTGGGCTTGCACTGCTTCTTTGCCAGGCTGTACCTGAAGGTTCATCCTCAGTTCTCCAGCGTCTCCAGCAATTTTCTGCTGTCACGCTGCAATGACCTTAATAGCAACAACAAACGGAGTCTGACACTCCCCAAATCTCACCCTCATGCAGATCATTATTGCTGCTGGGGGTGATAAAATAACCTGAGGGAGGCCCTTGGTGTTTTGAGTGCTGGAGGAAACCCTCGTGGTCATGCCTGCACTTCCAGCTTCCTGCTGGGGAAGCCTTGGCTCGGGTTTAGGTTTAAATGCCATCGGCCACACCTTCCCCCAGCCCAGCGCAGGAAGCACGATTGTTAAAATCAGGGCATGTTCCTGTTTAACTGAAAGGCTGAGATAAATAATCCAAAGGCCTCGTTTATGCCAAGCGAATTCCTGCCCGGGCCGGAGCAAGTCTGGGCAGCTGTAAATCTGTAACCCCTCGACCTCGCAGCCACGGAAGGGGAGTCTTGGCACATCCCCTCGGGAGTGGCTGGGCACAAACGGAAGGAGCAAAGAATCGGGCAAAGGTGGACAGGGCAATGGAAAAGTTTCTTCACTTTACCAACCCAGAGGCTTAAAAGCTGCTTTAAAATGCAGAATAGTCAGTTTGTTAAGTGCTGATGTGGGCTAGCTCTTGTTGGATTTGTCAGTGATACCTCATCCTTACAAAACAGCCTCGGTGAGGAGCGGAGTCACAACAAACATTGAGGTTTCGTTTTTTTCCAAAAGGTTTATTGTTTTCCAGACGAGCTTTAGTGAATTCCAGAGAAATGGCCAATGAGTCCTTTTTTCACCAGCCCAGCAGAATCACAGAATGGTTTGGGTTAAAAGGGACCCTAAAGGGTCCTCATGAAGGGACCTCATCCAGTGCAAACCCTGCCATGGCAGGGACACATTCCACCATCCCAGGGTGTGCCAAGCCCCATCCAACCCGGCCTTGGACACCTCCGGGGATCCAGGGGCAGGCACGGCTGCTCTGGGCACCCTGTTCTATTTGGAACACTCTGCTGCCCTCCCTGGGGTCCCAAGCAGCAGGAGGAAGAGCAGCAGGCAGATAAAGAGCAGCAAACCCCTTCGCAAACAGTTTCAAAGTCGATTCCGTGCATCTGTTTGGGTGTGCACAGCTGAGAGTCCCACAGAGAGCGGGTGGGGGTTCACAGTGCCCCTCGGGAGGTGGTTCAGGGGAATTGTGTGGAGCAGCTGGTGCTGGCATCAAAAGCCGGCGCTGCCAGAGGTGTGGGACCGTCGGGGATGTGTTGGCACGGCTGTGCTGGCACTGGGGAGTCCCATTTGCATGGAGCGTTTGCATTCTCGGTGGGAACCCAGCCCACGGCACAGAGCAGGCGCTGAAATGGGAGCCCGCAGGTGAAAACCTGGCCTTCCCTCTGAAAACCTGGATTTTTTCCCGTGAAGTCTAAGAAACCCAGCTGGAAGAGCCGGGATCCTTTTCAAAGAGGTGGCACCGCGTCAACATCCCAGCCGCTTCAGAGCACCGCTCAATGGCCTGTGCTGGAGTCGGTCGGGGTATCTGGGATCCTCAGCCCACCCCCGAATTCCCGGTTGGCACAGGGACCCCCGGCAGCGCTGGCAGCGGCTGTGGGGGCAGCGTTCGCTGCGCTCCCGATGCGAGGAGCCAGCAGCGCGGAGACAAAAGGAATTATTTCAGCTATTAGCTGCTAAGAATAGAGGCGGCGGGGGTGCTGAGGTGCCTGACAGCGCAGCCGGAGGAGCAGCGATTGCAGGGGGAGCACGGAAATAGCCGCGCTCCAGCTCA